GGTCATGGTTCACGTTCACGTGATGATATCAAGTTCATGTTCATGTTATTACCGGTTTCATGTTCAAGTTATGTATATACCAGGATCATGATATTGTTATTATATTCACTGTTTACTTTAGTATGAGTTTCTGCGGAGCACAGTGTTTTAGTGCTCACGCCCCCACGTATTTCATGTTTTTCAGGTCCCAGAGTCGGGGACGAGGAATGAGCTGACGGGCAGTTCAGAATATTTGTGGATATGTATATATATGATGTTTTGGCTACACTACTATTCTGCTATCAGTTTTCAGTACTTTAAAACAGCTTTTGATCCGACGTTAGTCGGTTAAAATATTTCAGCACCGTTTCTATTATCAGTTTAAAATTAACAGTTTTTCAGAAAAGACAAATTTTCACGGTAGCACTCCGAATCAGTTTTCGCAACATAAATGTTTTATTTATTTATTTATTTAGAAAAATTGCGAAAAAGCGTACTCTGAATTTCAGTAAAAAGTCGGGGTGTTACAGCCCACCCCTTGATCAGGATGTTCCGAAAGCGAAGGACTTTAGTCTTCTCGCTTGCCCACCTCAAGGGATGTTCTGAAAACATTGTGGTCGTCCAGCCCGAAGGCGTAGACGTTGTCGACCACATGCCGACCCCTTGGAGTGTTCCGAAAACAAGCGACCTTCGCCCACCCCTTGATCGGGATGTTCCGAAAGCGAAGGACTTTGTTCTTCTCGCTTACCCACCTCAAGGGATGTTCTAAAAACATTGTGGTCGTCCAGCCCGGAGGCGTGGACGTTGTCGACCACATGCCCACCCCTTGGAGTGTTCCGAAAACAAGCGACCTTCGCCTACCCCTTGATCGGGATGTTCCGAAAGCGAAGGACTTTGGTCTTCTCGCTTGCCCACCTCAAGGGATGTTCCGAAAACATTGTGGTCGTCCAGCCCGGAGGCATGGACGTTGTCGACCACATGCCCACCCCTTGGAGTGTTCCGAAAACAAGCGACCTTCGCCCACCCCTTCATCGGGATGTTCCAAAAGCGAAGGACTTTGGTCTTCTCGCTTGCCCACCTCAAGGGATGTTCCAAAAACATTGTGGTCGTCCAGCCCGGAGGCGTGGACGTTGTTGACCACATGCCCACCCCTTGGAGTGTTCTGAAAACAAGCGACCTTCGCCCACCCCTTGATCGGGATGTTCTGAAAGTGAAGGACTTTTCTCTTACTTCGAGTGATGATGAGCAGGGGTTGCACCCGCGGTTCCACATATGCCCGATAAGAAATTCCATAGAAGTTGTATAAGTGATCGGCTTTCATTACATATATTGAATCTAAAATCCACATGACCATATATAAAGATTGACTATGTCGTTAGATAGATCAGACCGAACTTGCAAATGACATGTTGTGAGAAATCAATGGTAAATATGAAAAGAAATCAGTAATCATAGAAATCGATGATTTTGACAATTCTTGAACAAAATTTGCTTCGAGTTACATTAATCCAATTTTCTCGAGCATACAGAAGGTAATCACAACTTGTAAATGACATGCTTATACGTAATATTTTTTTAGATTAGCTACGTTCCACGACCTGGCCAGTGATCTGCCCTCTGCATCCTTAAGAGAATATGCTCCTCCTGCATGAACTTTCTCGACCAAGTATGGTCCTTCCCAATTAGGCTCCAGCTTCCCTACATGCTTGAGCACGTCCACCCTTTTCCAGACTAGATCGCCCACCTGAAATCGACGGATTTTCACCTTTCTGTCATGGGCTGCTCTCATGCGTTGTTTGTACGCCTCTACTCTGGTCGAGGCCTGTTCCCTAAGTTCTTGAATCGTGTCCAAGGCAGCCATCATGAGTTCTTCATTCTGCCCCTGGTCATACGCGCTTATCCGTTGCGATTGCAATTCTGGCTCGACCGGCAATAGCGCCTCCATCCCGTAGACCAGGCTGAAAGGTGTCTCTCCCGTGGTCGACCTCGGGGTAGTTCTGTAGGCCCAGAGTACGGATGTCAACTCGTCGACCCACACCCCCGAGGCTTTTTCCAGTCTTGTCTTTAACCCGTTCAATATAATCCTGTTGGTCACTTCCACTTGCCCATTGGCTTGCAGGTGGGTGACGGAGGCAAAGTGCTGCTCGGTTCCCATCTCCTCGCACCACGTCCTAACTCGCTTACCATTGAACTACGTTCCATTATCCGATATCAAGACTTTGGGCACTCCGAACCGGCAACAAATGTTGTTATACAGAAATTGGATCACTTTCTCCTCAGTGATCTTGGCCAGCGGCTCAGCTTCCACCCATTTCGTAAAGTAATCGACTGCCACAATTAAGAATTTTCGTTGTCCCGTCGCTTGCGGCATTGGCCCTACAAGATCGATTCCCCACTTCGCGAACAAAATTGATGCACTCATAGTAGTCATTGTCTCAGCGGGTTGGTGGATAAGCGGGCCGTGTTTCTGACATTGCAAACATCTTTTGGTCATCTCCTTGGCATCCGCCTTCATTGTCGGGCAGAAATACCCTGCTCTCAGAATTTTGGCCACCATGGCTCCAGCCTTGCTGTGGTCGCTGCAGCATCCTTCGTGCACCTCTTTGAGGACGTGCCGACCCTCTTCCTTGGTCACACACCGCAAATGTGGCCCGGCATACGAAAGCTTGTAAAGAATCCCTCCCTGCTCGAAAAACCTTCCCATTACCTTGACTGTTCCTTCTCTTAGCTCTTTCAGGATCAGAGCCCTCTAGTCTTCGACTTCCTCGATCTCTACCACTTCTGCTTCGACCACACTTCTTTCCATGTGGAACAGGGTCACACTTCTGCTCTTATAGTCTACCAAATTTTGAGCGATTTTAGATAACAGATCGGCCCGACCATTCTCTCCTCTTGGTATTTGCATTAACTCGAAAGATCCGAATTTTTCCTTTAGCCTCTTCATATCATGCACATAACGCTGCAGTCTGTCCTCCTTGATCTCAAAACCCTCCTGAAACTGTCCGACCACCAGCTGGGAGTCAGAGTGGACTTGGATTTGTCGAGCACCTCCGGCCAGGGCTAACTGCAACCCTTTAATCACCGCTTCGTATTCTGCCTCATTGTTTGATACTCGAAACCCCATTTTCACAGCAAACTCCAAGTAATCTCCTTTGGGCGACACCAGTACTATGCCCAGGCCTACTCCGCTCCTCGACACCGAGCCATCTGCGAACAGTTGCCAAATTTCCTCCGTTTGCTCTTCCTCCTTCGTACCCTCCTGAATAAAGTCGGCCAAAACTTGCGCCTTGATCGCCCTTCTTGGTTCGTAGAGGATAGAATATTCGCTCAGCTCGACCGCCCATTTCACTAGTCGACCAGACACCGCTGGTCGGCCTAAAGTCTGCTCCAGAGGCATGTTTGTTCGCACCTTGACCCTATGGTTTAGGAAATACGGCCTTAGCTTTCGGACCGTCACGACCACCGCCAATGCACATTTCTCAATTTCTGAGTACCTCAACTCTGCTCCTTGCATTACCCGACTGACATAGTATATTGAGAGTTGTGCCGCTCCTTCTTCTCGCAACAGTACCGAGCTTACCGCACTCTTGCCCACCGATATGTAGAGCACAAGTTCTTCTCCATGTGTTGGCTTAGCTAGCAAGGGCAAATTTGCCAGCACCTCCCGCAACTCTTCGAAGGCCTTCTGGGCTTCCTCCGTCCACTGGAACTTCGAGCTCTTCTTCAACGTCTTGAACAGAGAGCCACTCTTCTCAGCTACTTTAGAGATGAATCTGCTCAACCCCGCTATTCGACCAGTTAGCATTTGAATCTCCTTCACACTGGTAGGTGGCTTCATTTCTATTACCGCTCTCACTTTCTCAGGGTTCACCTCTATTCCCCGTTTCGTCACCATATAGCCTAAGAATTTTCCTGCGTTGACACCAAACGAGCACTTGGCTGGATTAAGCTTCATGCCATATCTCCTTAGTGTTTGGAAAGTCTCTCTCAGGTCGCCCACGTGATCCGCCTCCATTTTGCTCTTTACCAGCATGTCATCGACATATACCTCCATATTTCTCCCCAACTGGTCTTTGAAAATCTGGTCGACCAGCCTCTGATAAGTGGCCCCGGCATTCTTCAGTCCAAATGGCATGACCACATAACAATAGGTGCCTTTGCTCGTTATGAAGCTCACCCTCTTCCAATCTTCCTTTGCCAAGGGGATTTGATGGTACCCCTGTGAGGCATCCATTAGGCTGAGCAATTCGCATCCTGCTGTGGAGTCTACCAGTTGGTCGATCCTTGGTAGCGGGTATAAATCCTTTGGGTAGGCCTTATTCAGGTCAGGAAAATCGATGCACATCCTCCACTTCCCTCCCGATTTGGACACCATCACCGTGTTAGATAACCACTTAGGGAACTGAATTTTCTTGATGTGCCCAGCGTTCAACAACTTTTCGACCTCCTGCTCGATAATTTTTTCCATTTCCACGCCATGATGTCTCATTTTCTATTTTATCGGCTTCACGCTGAGATCAATATTGAGTCTGTGCTCCATCACCCTTGCTTCGATCCCCGTTAGCTCATCCGCTGTATACGCGAAGATGTCTGTAAACTCCCTTATTAGACTGATCAACTTCGACCTGATCGGCTCTCCCAAATCTTTCCCAATCTTGAACTTGCGATCATCACATCCCTGCACTATCTGAACTTCTTCGACCTCGCCCCCGGGTTGTATGTCTATCTTCTTCTTTCCTTTATCCTGCCCTCCCATTTCCTCCTTCGTTCTCGACCCTCCTGGTCGATCGGGCCTCTCCTCCTTGCATTTCAATTACTTTTCTGCCATCCACTTATTATTGCTGATTGTAGTTTGGTAGCAACTCCTCGACGTGAGATGGTCTCCAGCAATCTCGCCCACATTTTCCCCCACCGGATATTTGATCGTCATGTGTTATGTAGACACGACCGCTTGGAACGCGTTTAAACTTGTCCGTCCTAAAATGATATTATAAGACGATTCTGCACCAACCACTACGAACCCGACCCCAACGCTACAGTCAGGCTTACTTCGCCCATTGGCATCATCTCCCCTCCATTAAAACCATATAAGGCTGTTGCCACCGGTTTCAGCTCCAGATTTAAGTGTTTGTTGATCTGCGCGAAGCAATCATAGAACATCACATCGACCGAGCTCCCAGTGTCGGTGAACACCCTTTTTACGTCGAAACCTGCCACTTCTGCCGTGATGACCAGTGCGTCATTGTGGGGTAACAAAATCCCCTCCGCGTCTTCTGCTCGAAAGCTGATCACTGGCATTCGACCAGTTATCCCAACCTCCTCCCTTTTGCGTTTCACAGCTCGCACGTGCACCTTTCGTGCATTGTTTGAATCTCCATCCGTGGGCCCTCCTGAGATCATATAAATTGTGCCTCTCTTCACGAGCACCTCCCCCCTCAACTCCTCTCGATCATCGTTCTGTCTTCTCCTTCTCTCTTTTCTAGCGTCGTCTTCCCTATCATCATCTCTGTCACTCCTTGCCACCGAATCCTCCCTGCACCTTCTCCGTTCTTTACCCCGCGGTCGATTGTGGATGACGAATTCTTTCAAGTGCCCTGCCCGTATGAGACGCTCGATCTCGTCTTTCAAGTTCCTACAATCCTCCGTGTTATGCCCATAATCCCTATGGAATCTGCAGTATTTATTCGACCTGGGCTTGGTCGGTCCCTCGAACCTCGTCGCCGGCCACGTGACCTCCTTGCTTTCCAACTTTTCCTCAATGGCCGCCAAGACTTCGCCCACCTGGGCGTTGATCGGAGTGAAATGGTTATATCTTTGGCCGTTTGGTAACCGGGGTCGTCCTTGCCAGCGATCTTCTCGTCCCTCTCGGAACGAATTTCGCCCATCCCTTCTGGGCGACAGCTTCTTAAAGGATCCACCTTTTGGGGAACTTTTCCTAGGCGATCTTCTCCTGGGCGAGCTCGGCCTTCCCTTCCTTTGCTCAGGTTTCACAACCTCCTCAAGCTTGGCAAACTCCGCTTCCGTTTCTTCTAAATTAATGTACTTCTTGCATCTCTTAAGCACCTCATCGTAAGTTCGAGCAGACGTCTTCGCCAGTGATGTTCGACATGGTCCTGGTCACAGACTCCTAATCAATCCTCCTGCCTTCACCTCGTCGCCCGCCGTGGGCACCTCTAAACACATTTGATTGTATCGAGCAACATATTTCCGCAGGGACTCTTTCTCGCCTTGTCGCATCGCCATCAAAGTGAGGTATGTCTTCTCCTGGGTGACCGCGCTTGAATATTGATTAGTAAGTTGTCCTGCGAAATCCTCAAAGTCTCTGATCGAACCAGGAGCTAATTGGTGGAACCAGTCGAGCGTGCCTCCTCGTAAGGTCGACAGAAAAGCCATGCAACTGACCGGATCTGAATACCCGTGCAAGACGGACATGTTTTCAAATGCCCTCACATGCCCGACGGGTCGCTCGACCCATCATAAATCAGATTTATCTCCCGGAAACTCGCAGGCAGTGGTGCAGCTAGGATATCCCTCGAGAACGGGTGTCCTCGAGCACGCCTGTCCGGCCTTTCTTCCACCTTCTCCTGTAGTTGTCGGAGCTGCTCGACCATCCTCTCCATTGCCCTATCTCTGTGCTCGTCTCCTCCGCCATAACTCGACACGTCCTCCTCTTGTGTTCCAGGTATCGTGGTCGGTGTGGTAGTAGCCTGGGACGTCTGGTGAGTGACCTGCTGCACAGCCTGTGCCGCCGCGTTGGCCATCATCCTCTGCATCTCTTCTCTCGTCATGGTCACCATTTGTTGGGCAGGGGTTTCCGGCGCTCCTCCTGTTGGTGGCACCATTGTCTGCACCGTTGGTTCAACCTGTTGCGTCACAACCGGGCCTACTTGCAACTACGTGAGGATTGCCGTCGGCGCTGCTTCACGAGCCTCGTGCTCCCTGCTCGTGCCTTCCCCTCCACCCGGGATCGCTGTACTCTGGGGCATCAGCGCTGGGGTCACCGGTGTTCGGGATGGTCCAGAGAATCCGGGTGGAGGTCCTGCTCCCATCGGTCTTGTCGTCGTCCACGCTTCATCAAATGACGATTGCAAATTCACTCGAGGAACTCCGTCCGCCATAGCTGAGCTCAGAACACAACTTTTTGAACGAGAGTCCCACAGACGGCGCCAATAATACAAGTCTGACACCCCGACCGGCTGGAAATCACCTCAGGCTTGTTCTCCTTGCCGGTTGAACGCGGAACCTGCACGAAACTCCTACATCGGAGGTATTTTCCAGTGAAGAGCCTCCAACGCTCAAGTCAGATCTTGAAGAATAATATAAGTGTGTGGAAAAATGTAAGAGTATATGAGATCGTGTTCAAAGTGAGGATTCTCGCCCCTATTTATAAGGGCGAGCTACCTGTTCTACACGCGCGAGTAGGGCGAGTTCGGCCAGCTGTCCTCTGCTCGTCCGTACGGCCGCGCGCCTCCACTATCCTTGATGTCAGGAAACGTGTCCCCTTTGTCAGAGAATGTCAGATTTTGTTATAGCCATAAGCCACTCATAGGATGTCGCGTGTCTTCCCTTTCACGTGCTGGAGATTCCCTTATGCGCTCTGTTTGACCAATTCTGTACGACCACACCTTATTCGACCGTGCCCCTCGACCAACTCCTCGAGTAATCGCATCTGTCGACCACTTCTGATCCCATTAGTCCCTGCTGCCTGCTCTCTGTCTTTCATTGCAGGTGTCTTTTCTGGTTCGACCATATCGTCCCGCCTTATTTGGGTAATCCAACGAACCGGTCTGTTTTCCCCGGTTAGCCCAATAAAACCGGTCTGGTATATAATATCCCATATCATCTAGTCCTCCCACTCTGGTCGAGTCTGAATGACTCGATCTAAGAGTAGCTACTGTCTGTGTTGCTGAGGCTCTGCTTCTTTGGTTTCGACCACCTTTCCCCTTGACCGCTCTTTGCGATTTCGAATTTCGAATTTTACCACTTGTCCGCCTTTTCGGTCGCGTCCTTTCGTCTGTCAGGGCTCATCATTACCTCATGCCCCCATTCCCTCGTATCTCATGCCACTTTAAAACCCTCGTTCCCGCTGGCCGTCAGATCAACTACTTTAATCCATCGGTTAGCGATCCTCTGCCTTTCCACCTGCCTCTTCATCTCCACCCTTGAAACTTCACGATCCAACGGCTGGTCTTTCTCCTAGCTTACCTATTTCCCTTATAAATACTGCTACTTAAACAGATTTCGTTGGGTGGTGTGAAAAACTTAGTATGACTTTAGAACGGGGTAAAAATAGTTATTTCCTCAAAAAGCAGATAAATAAATTGATAAAGGACTTCTTGTTGGGATCAATGAAGATTTTGTTATGCACAAATCACGAATTCAATAGCAAAACGTAAACCTATGCGCAGCGGATCTAAAGGTTTGCGTAGAGAACTTACGGCTTAAAATTTATGGCGATCTGGCTGATCTTCTAGATGGCCGTACACAACATACCAATGAATTGTTGACTGCAAATCGAGTCCTAGGATTGCACGAACAAGATCAGATCAAACGAGTGAAAAATGGATGAAGAAAAGTTGCAGTCCATGTACCTTGCGGCGGCGCGTGCGGGCGTGTGGGTGGTCGGACAGCTGAAATCTCAGCGGCGTTGGAAAGCTCTCGTCGAGACGGTCATCTGGGTATACTGCACGTCTTGATCAGACCTCCGGTTAGTTCTGTACGACCAAATATATTTCATCTCACTTTACCCAAAGGTCTTCTATTGTATATCTCAAACACCTCTTAATCTTGTACCAGTGGAACAACAAGAAGAAGATAAAGCTCGAACGAGAACTGAGAGAGAAGAGAGGCGTGGGGCGTGATTTCCAAGATGTGGAATTCTCTTCTCTTCCCCTGAGATTAATGATGTATATATAGAGCTACAGTAGGGATCCTTAGGAGATTAGGATTAGGGCTCCTTAATTAATTAAACTTGTGGACCAAGACACTTATCTTAACTAATTAAATAATATTAAATGGGCCACCAACATAATATCATTGCACTCTCTTTTCCTAGCCCAATTTATAATTGAGACTCCAATAATAATTACTCGATTTATCTCTCCATGTTTATGATATAATGTCCATTAATTAATTCGATTACTGGCAATCAAGAATTAATTAATTTATTATTATTTAACCGAAGCTATCGCTCGTTCATCACATTATTACTATGCCGGAATTTAATCCATCTTCAGGGTTTAGCATAATAATCCTTTATGAACTCACTCCGGGGACATCATCAAACTAACGCACATGGTGACCGTAAATATCCTAACAGCACATCCTCCATGTAGCAATATTACCCAAGACAGCGGGTCTATTGGCCCAGTTCACTAAGCCTCACCCATGCTAATCAAAGTAATAAATACTACAAATATATGTTTGTTTAATATCTTACGGGTTAAGAGTACGCAGTAATTAACCGAGGCCTAGTTCGTTTACGACGATCAGTATAAAATGAACTGCTCCTCTCTGGGATCCTGTTCAATACATAAATGTACTAGTGCAACTAATCAGTCAAGACAATCTGTACAGTTGACACTACAACCGTTCGCGATGGGGTGTTCATGTCCATCTGGGTTGTGAACAACTTATTCTTGTTTCGCGAGTAACTGATGGCATGATCTTCGGTTCGCCCGATGACGACCCACACTATCTAATGCAAAACAACAGAATGTAGAACTTGTTTAATCTAACATGTTTCTCATTCATAAAGGGTAAAAGTGTAATATCATCCAAAGCCAAGCTTTCAGTATATAACACTAACAATCTCCCACTTATACTTAAAGCTTTCGCTTTTACAGGTATAATCCTATCAATCCGTTATTCTAAAAGACCTATGTCAATCCTATCGCCATGCACTTGACTCCCATTCCTGTCACGTGTTTGACGAAGACCTTCTCCGGAAAACTCTTCGTGAAAGGATCAGCTAGGTTGTCCTCATATGAAATCTTGGCAACATCAACGTCTCTTCTACCAACTATCTCTCGGATCAGATGGTACTTGCGCTCTATGTGTTTACTTGCTCTGTGGGCTCGTGGTTCCCTTGAGTTTGCTACTGCTCCACTGTTATCATAGTACACGATTGATATAGCCATACTATCGTATAACGGTTCAGACATTACCGAGTCGAATTATCTGAAGTCGGCTCTTTCTGCGGACTCCTTATAATATCTCCGGTCTATAAGGGCCCAGGCGTCTCTCTCAGTTAACTTCCATGTGTCGACTAGCAGAAGTAGACTCCCTCCGGAAATATGGACAAGCGCATCAGGGTCTACTGACGATTGAAGATGACCTAGTCGACTCGAGTTGATATCCCGAGTCCACTGAGGAAGTCTCGAGGCTCATTGTCCCTGACGACTCCGGTGTACTTCAACATATCATAAGGAAGCTATTAAGGATAAGAAAGAATCTAGATATTGACTAGGAGATGGACGGAATGCGAACCGACCAGGGTATTTTGGATATTTCCAGTAAGTCGGCCGGGGCATTTTGGGAACTTCGGGTAAATGTTTTGCTTCTATAAAAAGGAGCTGAGGTAACCCCAAATCCCTAACTCCCATTCATTCTATACTCTCGTCCATTACTGTTGCTGCTCTCTCAGAGCAGCCCTCTTCATCTCTTTCACATACTGACTTGAGCGTCGGAGGCTCTACGCCGGGAACCCCTCCGGTGTTGAGTTCTTGCAGGTGTTCTCGTTATTTGACGACGGTTCGAAGGCGTTCAAGACAGATCTGAGCCCATTACCATCGGTTCATTCCAGATCTGAGCCCACTCCCATCGGTTCGCTCCAGATCTGAAAAGAGACCCGTCATTTTGGCGCCTTCTGTGGGGTGTTCTTGAAGGAATTAAGAGCTTTACACCTAGCTTTGATCTGTCTCTGATGGCTGAGAAGGAAGGACTGCAGAAGAATTTGAACGAAGATTTCAGGGCAACATGGACTGACAAGCGGCCTCCGCCGATTCCCAGCCCCAGACCATCGCTCCAAGTGTTTGGCTTCCCACCGTTCGGAACACACGCGCCGTCAGGAGCGCGTGTGGGGGAGG